TATATTTTTAGTTGTCCAGCTAATTTCTTTCTATTTTTAGTAGAGATGGGGGTCTCACTCTTGCTCAGGCTGGTCTTGAACTCCTGACCTTGAGCGATCCTCCCACCTCGGCCTCCCAGAGTGCTAGGAAATTACAGGCATGAGCCACCGCCGGCCAATATGCTGCTTTTGACACTCCACCAAAGGTATATAGAATCTTAGCAATGCTGCATTTTGCACACAACTGTTAACATTTAAAGATTGAGATTAAAAAAAAATTGCTATGAGTATAGCTAGAACACCCTAAAATGAAATAATAGAAAATCAAATTTTATAGTATCTTTTAATCTAGCATAATTATGTTGGGTTATGTAAAGATGTCTTAGTATTTTGAAATGTATTAATATAGTCAGCAATCAAACAAAATTTGTGTATCGCCTATAATAAATGCTACGTAACATTTAGTAACAGCACTTGTTCCAAATTCTTGTGGATCTGCAGAATAAGAAGAATTCTTTTGAAAAGGAAAACAAGTTTTGCAACATTGAGATCTTTTTGTGTGAGAACATGGTAATGCTGTCTTTATCTGAACCAGCTTTTTTTAGTACAGTTTTAAAGTTTTGTTTATGTATTTCATATATTTTGAGGAAGGTTAGTATATAATGAGATTCTGTTTACAAAGAAGAGAATAATGGCAAAGTCTCTAGGTGTCCCATGCAGTCAATTCTCGGTATCCACAGTAGTTATCTTCTGTAAAGTTGCTGTGAATACTGAACCGTTGCTCCCAGGGAGAGTACGGGGTACTCTCCTGAAAGCCTTTGGTCACAACATTCTCATCAACCAATCAATACATAATCTTGTTTTATGTGTGTTTCTGTTTAAAGACACCTTATTTAATATATACTGTTAATTCATTAACACAAAATGCACAGCTGACAGCACCATAACTCATGCATGAACAAAGCTTATCTAATACACTTATTTTCTCCAAAAGGTGCATCACAGCCTTCTTGAATTTAGGAACAGTAGATTGCACTAAACCTTGGAACCATTTTAAACAATAAACTCTCCAAAAAATGGAAAAAATGTGACTCTAAATAGACCATGGAAAGGACATTTGTTTACAGCATGAGAACTGAAATAAGAAGGCAGAGCAACACTTTGTTCCGCGTCAGCTGGGAATGCACATATCCACACATGACTGAAAGCACTGTAAGTATTGATTTTGGTTGTTTTGGTTGGTGTTACAAATTTTAGCAAGTGGGAAACTCCCAAATATAGAATCCATGAATAATTAGGATCTACCATATTTAACATAAATTTTGATAAGATTATGCTTAAGTATTTTATGTGTTTCTTTACTATTTATGCCATTCTGCTTGAATTCTAACTATTTCATTCCAAGATAGACTTTAAAATTTTTGTGTGTGTGTGTGTGTGTGTTGGATGCTCCTCTAGAAGCTGGAGAATTTATTAGTAGACAACATATATTACACAAAAAGCCCTGCCCTTGTGGAATTTATGTTACAGTGTTGCATTTACCTACTTACTTTCCCCTCATTATATTTGAGTTTCTTTTGGCCAAGGGCCATTTGTTAGTTTGCCTGAGCTCCTAACATGATTCTTTCTTTTTTTTTTTTTTTTTTAATATCTCGGACATTACGTTGCATCTTAAATAACAAATTTAGATTTGGCATCAAACTCAAATTAGCAGGTGTTCTTTCTTTGTTAGTACATAAAATAACCATGCATCTGAAATCAATGTCTTAGATTTGATGAACTATGGAACTTCTAGTCTGGTTCATTTAGTCTTAAGTAAAGGCTACTGTTATACAACTACTTTATCTTGAAAGTTTAATACACATTGTGAATTTGCCAGGAGAGTAAGATTTTCCATG